ACTGATTCATGAAATTGAGCGACACATCCATCATTGTCTTCAGTGAGTTATTATCTCACAACAGACATGGATGAACTCCACTGTTCACTGCTTCTTACTAGAACTCCAGGAAATACCTGTTGAAGCCAGTCACTAGTGAGCATATGTTGATCAGAATCAGAAGGAATTTTTGTGGAGAGTTTAGTAATTTCAATAATTGAGATCATAGTTGTATAGTGGAAATATTCATGATATAATAATAAATTCTACCATGGAATTCTTACATAACATTAATCAATATAGATTCAATTCAACGTTCCTTTTTACTACAGTAATGAGTTGTGCTATAATATTATAAGTGTTACACTATCTCATTATCTAAATTGTTAAATAAGCTATTGTAGAGGGCATGCGAGCCAACTCCATCCTTTTGTTTCACTTCACTCTCTCTTCTTCCCTTCCTTCGATTCGTCTTTCTGATTATCTATCCAGATCATTGAGTGTACAAACTATATGTATTCAAATATTTATTCTCTTATATGACTTATTTATTTCCATTATTCACTAAAGCGATCAAAGTTGACAAATTGCATACAAGGATAGGCGACATATGTATATCTCAATTGCAATCAATCATACAATCAGATATAAGGCCATTAAACGTTAATACTTGGAACTCAAAGCAACTGTCAACCAACACCAAGGTCAGGATTTTCAATACAAATGTCAAGACAGTTCTACTGTATGTGGCGGAAACTCGGAGAACTACGAAAGCCATCATCCTGAAGATATAGGTGTTTATTAACAGTTGTCTATGCAAAATACTTCAGATCCGTTGGCCGGACACTATTAGCAACAACCAACTGTGGGAAAGAACAAATCAGATCCCAACGGAGGAAGAAATTAGGAAGAAACGCTGGAAGGGGATAGGACACACATTGAGGAAAGCACCCAACTGCGTCACAAGGCAAGCCCTCACATGGAATCCTCAAGGCCAAAGGAAAAACAGGGAGAACAAAGAACACATTACGCCGAGAAATGGAGATAGACATGAGAAAAATGAACGAGAATTGGATGGAATTAGAAAAGTAGGCCGAGGACATAGTGGGTTGGAGAATGTTGGTTGACGGCCTATGCTACATTTGGAGTAACAGGCGTAAGTAAAGTAAGTAAAAGTAAACGTTAATACTTAATTTCTTAAATTTTAAAAGTCTTCATCTTGACTACAAATAATAAACTCCATAATATATCTATATGTACTTTATTAAAGATTCAAATGGAATGCATCACTCTTGCCAACCAACATAAACTGTGATATTCTAATATATAAAAGTTGATTATAGAATGAAATAGTTTCTACCCAGCAACAACAAAAACAGAAAAAAATTATTTGAAAAATAAATAATGAACAAGATTTTTAATAGAAATTTACCTAAACAGAAATATGAAATATTTTTCTTTTTCTTTTTTTTCTCTCATTTTTTTCTGGTTTGATGAATGAAGGTGTAATAAAGATCATAGTAATAAGAATGTTAAATTTTACATGAAATGTCAAATAAATTTATTAGAGACAAATAAATAACACTGATTATATTTGGGAATACAAATAGTAAGGAATGAGAAGAAAAAGTGAGAAGGAAAAAAGAAACGATCTCACTAGTGCAAACAATTTATTCACAATAACAATAATAATACCAGGATAATGTAAAGATGAATAGCAGTGAAATTCAAAAAGCACATTTCGTCCTACTTGACACTCGTCAGCTGGATGTACTTGCATCTTAGATTTGGTGTTCACCCTGGAACTCGAACCCGTTATCGTTCACTTCAAACACACTCGCGTTATTCATTGAACTATTGGGTCCTGATGGTAACTTGCTTGGTCAATGGAGTGAAGTTTAAATTCACTTATTACTGTTTTCTTGAATCTTATGGGTTCAATTCCCCAAGTGAACATCAACTCTGAGATGCGGGTATATCCATCATGCGATTCTCAAATAATACGAACCGCGTGTCAAACTGGATTCCACTGCCAGCCACTATCCATCTTTGCTTATAATGCCTATGAATTAAGGCAATATCGAGGCAGTCCGCACACTATGCACATATGCTTAAACAAATAAGCTTAAACTATATCATATCTTCAATCTGTTAACATGATGATTACTTTATTATTGAGTTTTTGATTGAGATCATGAACCGATTGATGTTAGACCACCATTGAAAACCTGGAAGCATTGGACGGCCGTTTCGCCCTATTGTGGGACTCCTCCTTGACAGTGCGCATCCACGATCCCGATCGCAGGATTCGAACTCAGTACCTCTAGTCTCGCGCACGAACGCTTAACCTACTGGACCATTGAGCCGGCATCAAATGGTGTTAGTGTCCAACATCAACCAATCCACGAAATTGCGCGACCATCTTCCATTGTACTGACGTAGACACCTGTTTCTACCCGACACGGATTAGCTCCACTGTCTACGGCTTCTCACTAGAACTTCGAGAATCCCCTCACGAAGCTATTTATTTAAATGTGATAATCGATGGTCTATTAATAACTAATCACTTGACAGCAACCAGTATTTTGTTGTTTAGATCTTTTATACATCAAAATTAGCTGATTATTTGTGAAATTAGTGATCAAATAGTTGTCCTAGAGTTATACAAAAGAAAAGTACCTATATTCACTTTAATATTGTTTGCTTGTATCTTATGTTCCGCTCCTGATGAATAATACTCTTTGGTAATATTTTTCTGTAATCTTGAAGATTATATCAGTAAATAGCTTACTCAAAACATTTACTATTGAAGCATTGAGTTTACAGAAGTAATCAACACGAAATCTCAGTTCACCAATTCTTCTCGACGTTCAGTCGAATAGCAATTCATCAATGAATAATAGTATCCCATATCCTGGATGTTACTTCAGAGTTTCATGATTGCCTTTCTGTATTGGGTTTCTAAACAGTAATTTCATTTTACACTTAACTCTATTATTTTCAATGTTTATAGAAATGATTTCCTGTTTTAGTTCCAATCAAAAATGAAAATGAATTCTTCTTTATTAAATACGTTCGGTTTCTACATCATATTGTCGTAATGGTTTATCATCTTATCTTAATCTTTGTTTAACTTAAATCTGAATCTTGATTCGTAATCAGTTGATCTCCCTGGTTGGGTACAGATTTTGACGGTTAAAGAAACGTGTTAAAGAAATTGCTATTATTTTGTCGTTTTTTAGTAAATTATAAGAACATGTTAAAGGCAGTAATTGATTCTTTTTCCAAAGTTAAATTCACGAATCGGTCGTGGCTAAACGGTCACTGAAAACCTCGAAGTCATAGTTTATGACTCTTCAGTAGCGCGCATCCATGATCCCGCGCCGAGGGGACTCGAACTCAGAACCATCGGTCTCGTGCACGAGCTCTTGACCTCTAGATCATTGATTCAGCGTCCGACGGTATTAATGTTTAACCTAAATCAATCCATGATTTTGTGTAACCATTCGTTCGTTGTCTGAAGTGGATAACTGTCTTTGCCCAACATGGATTTGATTCTACTAGTCACGGCTTCTCACTATAACTCCAGGAAAGTCACCTTGAAGCTAATCAGTATTGAGCACATGTACTTCACCCGTGAATTCGACTTTGAAAATACCATAATCTTCACAAATTTCCATAGTTAACCTAATTCTCAAGAATATGAACACTACAAATAATGGTTTATATCATTTCGTTCTAATGCATCTGACATGGAATTCATGTTACGAGATATTAAATGATACAATGGTGACAGATTGCACAGAATAGTTTACTATTTACAACTTAATCAGATATTCATCTTCCAGTAATTCTAGATTCAAATGCGATTATAAATTAAAATCTGATGTTTCAGTAATTTCTTCATCAAAACATAATCAATCAGATACTTGATCTCGAACTTATACGATCCATTTGAATAACTGATTCATACATTTTTATTACCATCTTAAGATTTTATCATCATAACAATAAACCACACAAATCTCATTTGATTTGTGTGGTGCATTTACATCCGGTGCTCCCTTGTTTAGTTATTTATTTTTACACATAGATATTGGTACAAGGAGGCACCAAATACATATGCGCCACACAAATCTCATCCGATGTGTGAGGACTGTGATACTGCCCGGGTGCCCAAACCGAAACAGATGGTTTTCTTAGGGAGTCACACCCCGAGCCTTCGACCTGAAGGTCTGATCCACAAGGCACTGGAGCATCGTAAGGAGATGCAGTCCCATGGAAGCCGGTGACCAACAATTAGTTCATACGTCATTTGTTCCCGCAGGATACTGGAGCCCATGTGCACCATTGGTTTGGAATCCGGTTAAAGCGCCGGAAATTCGCTTTCTGTCCTCTCATTTTCGTAAACAACAGCAATGCCACGAGAAGGCAGTGAGTGAACTTCCCTGGCAGAGGCTATATACGCGTGGCCGTGTGAGAGCATTTCGAGAGGGAGGACGGGCCCACCCCACTCTAGACCATACCAGGGCATTTATGTGTTCAAATAAATAAATAAGCTTAATCAACAATTTGTATCACGTATGTATCATGTATGTCTTATATGATAACATAAACAATCTAAATATAAACACTTCATATAATAGATCCTGTAGGTTCAATAGGTTAAGCGTTCGCGCGCGAGACTAAAAGTACTGGGTTCAAATCCCGCGAGCAGGATTGTAGAAGCGTACTGTCAAAGAGGAGTCCCACAATAGGACGAAACGGCCGTCCAATGCTTCCAGGTTTCCAACGGTGGTCTAACATTAATCGGTTCATGATCTTAATCAAAAACCTAATTATCCCCACAACCCCTAAACTAATATAACAGATAGAACAATAACTAAAACAAAAACAACGAGAACAAAAATGAAAGGCAACAAAAGTATATTATACGTACATGTATATATATATATATATATATATATATATATATATATATATATATATATATTTCTATTTATTTATTTATGATCATGTTAATAGAAAACACATAAAACATAAAAGAAAACAATACACAACACAATAAACAACAAGAATAGATAATGAAATAGAAAAAGAGTTTATAACTTGAATAGTTATATTTTGATCTTCATAGATTTATATATAGAAGCGAGTTCAGTTAAACTGATATCTCACAATAATAATTCATTGGAATGAAATGATGAATTGATTGTAACATACATGAAAGTTTTTATATCAGTTACATCACAGTTAAAATGAAAGGGATTAAAGATTTCTTTATTAGTAGTATCATTATTTATTTATTCATTAATTAGTTTAACTGATAAATGCTTTCAAGTTCTATTTTTCCAATTAACACAGATACAAATACACACACACAAACACACACACACACATACACACATACAGACACATACAAGCACAGACACACAGAAACAAAATGATTATATAATAAAACAAATGAGAATTATTCAAAATCACGATATCGTCTTGGTACTGAATTATAAAAACACATATGATATTCCGGGAAACATCGACAACGATGATATTTTTTAATTTCTTCACTACCAGATGGTACAAAACTCATAAAATACCATTCATTACAACCTAATTCTTGACATAATTCAAAACATTTTTTAGCTGTTGGTACAACGCACATAAAATTTCCAGTAGCTAAGATAGAAGAAAAACCAACAAAAAAAAAATAAAAGAAGGAAGAGGTTACTATTATGATGATGATTATTATTATTGTTATCATTTTAAGTTCATAGATGAACTTTTTAAGAATAAATTCAATCTAAGCACTTAGATACAATGAATCGATTAAATCTAGACCATTATGAAAAACCTGGAAACAACAGACGATTGTTTCGTCCTACTATTGAACTCTTCAAATATTTTGTTTATAAATAAGGTTCGTTCTAATGATCTAATCTTAAAAACTGTGAAAGTATTTACGAATTAATATTAAAACTGAACGTTATTAAACTGTTGAATTGAAAGATATAGTAACTAACTAATAATGATAATCTAATATGAGGATGGAGTTTCCCTCTTTTTTTCTCTCTCACGACAGTTGAATGATAGATCAGATTTGATATTGGAAGTCTTTATTCAGACTTTATTCATTTCACAATATTAAGTAATTATCTTTCAAGATCAATAATGTGTAAACTGGTTGATTATGATTTGAGATAGCCTTCTAAACATAAGTCACTATTAACAACATCATGTAATTATCATTTCAATAATGAATTCAAGTCACAGAGTGACATATCAACTCTGAGATGAAAGTAGATCCAGCAGACGAGTCGCTAATAGGACGAAACAATTTATTAGAGATAAATAAATAACAGTGATTATATTTGTGAATACAAATAATAAGGAATGAGAAGAAAAAGTGAGAAGGAAAAAAGAAACGATCTCATTAGTACAAACAATTTAATTACAATAACAATAATAATAATACTAAAATCGCGTAAAGATGGATGATGGATAATAGTAGAATCCAAGAGCCGCGTTACGTCCTATGTGGGATTCGTCGGTTGGATGAAACTACAACTTAGAGTTAGTGTTTATTTTGGGACTCGAACATATTATCGTTCGCTTCAAACGCCGTCGCGTTATCCACTTAACTATTGAGTCCTGATGGCAACTTGCTTGTGTAATAAGATGAAGTTTAAATTCACTTGTTACTGTTTTCTTGAATCTTCTGAGTTCAATTCCTAAAGTGAACATCAACTCTGAGATGCAAGTACATTTATCTGACGAGTCTCAAGTTGGGCGAACCGTGCGTCCTAGATTTTATCACTAACCACTATATTAATATATATACCGTATGTTAAACAATTGAGAACTGGTTACTTAGAAAACGGGTTATTTGCTTTTCAACTTAGTTACTATTTTGAACTTTGTCTTGGACTATTTAGTTTTAGTTTCATCAATTCAAAGATAACAAATTTGTTTTACTTTTTCACCTTTATCAAAATAGTTGTAATTGGAAATTCACTTAGTAATTGTATTACATAAATCTTACCATGGATAATAAGGACTTCAATTGATTAGTCTTTTATTGGCAATAGTAGTTTATATTTCAAATGTAAACTTGACTATATCTATAAAGAAACTGTACATAAACTATTGAACTATCAGAATGTATAGTTTAATGTGAATATTTCTATTTTTATTGATATAAAATAGTACATTATAACAAATTGTTTACATAAGAGAAAGCTAATTATCATCAATCAACTAGATAAGAAGTATTACGTAATGTAAAATTGTTGCCATGGTTACCTTCTCTCTTTTTTTTATAAAATAGTTTTAATGTAGATTATATAAGTGAAAATTATCAAGCGAAGTTATCGTTATTTATATGGATAAAGCTGAATATCACAGAATATCTTTAAGTTCACTTGATGTTGTTTTACTCGTATCTTCCCATTGCACGTACATCCAGATGACGAGTCTCAAATAGGACGAAACGCGCGTCAAACTGGATTCCTATTTATGATTCGTCGTCTTTCTTTAAAAAGCTTATGACTTAAGGCTATATTGAGGCGATCCGCACAGGATGCACATATGCTAACATGTCACCGATCAATTATAGTCCTAAATAAAAATCGGAAGATACAAGCAAAACAACATCAAGTGAATTTAAGCTTCACCTCATTGCACCTCATTGCAGGTGGCTGTCAGGACTCAGTGGCTAAGTGGATAACGTGATGGCGTTTGAAGCAAACGGTACTGGGATACAGGAACACCCAGTTGACGAGTCCGATAAATGACGAAACACGCAGCGTGGATTCCACTGAAAGAAGCTATCCATCGTTGCTTAAAAATATCTGTATATGTTCATTACTTAAACACAAGTTATTCACCATGTGAAACATGAAACTTATTCAAGTTTTATATTGAAAGGTTCCTACACATCTAAGAGTGGAGGTGATATTTCTTAAACAACTGGAATAAACGTTTTATTTAGTGTACATTGTTTAAAATCACAAATGTCATTTGGCCGGCCAACAAATCGTTCCATATCAACGGTTTCAAAAACGAATTCTTCCGATGTATATATATTAAGAGACATAAGATAATCTACACATTTAAAGAATCTAAACAACATCATGAAGACATTCATTGATACAGTAAAAAATAGATAAGTATACTTATTGTAATAATTTAATGAATAACGAAGATCCGTTGCTTCCTACTCATAAACATACTGATCCAAAAAGATTTTAATAGGGAGTATGGTGGAAGTATGAATATATAATATATCATACCAATATCAGCATACGAAGATTAATGTCAAGATTGTTCAGTTCTCACATTTCACACCACCGATCGATCTTAATTAGACAATCGTTGGAAACCAAAAATCACAAAATAACTCTTTCATCATATCACAAGTTTATTCACCAGTTCACACTCATAATTCATGTCAAACTTCATCTAGATGTGACAATGTGTGATTATCTTCCATCACATGTGGTCGATAACTATCGATCTCACATACAATATGGCTGAATTAACCATATTCTCAGCATCTACACAGAACACCTCCAATCACATCTACAACTCAATCACTGGAGAGTGCAATAATATTACTATTATTACCATTAGTGTATTGGTTTGTTGAGCATTGTCAATTTTGTATAAATTTTACATGAGTGGTAGAATTCAGTTAGATAGCGACTGTTGATGAGTGTGATAGTGTGACGAATGAGGTGTTTGATGCTTCCTGTCGTCTGATAGTTATCCAGCCAAGATCATTCCTGTATGTAATGTATGAAACTTTAAATATTTTCATCAAAATTGTAATTTACATTATTAGTTATCACCTTATAAACTGAAGGATTTTGATTCATATATTCAATTCGAAATTATCATGAGAGAAGTTTATTAGTATCAGAAGGGGTTTTGTGGATATTATAGTAATTTTAATAGTAGAGATCATGAGTCATTTGAAGCGGGATCGTGGATGTTCACTGTCAAGTAGAAGTCGCACAATAGGACGAAACGGCCGTACAGTGCTTTCAAGTTTTTAATGATGGTCTAACACCAATTGGTTCATGATCTCAATCAAAAACTTAATAATCCCCACAACCCTACAATTTGAAATTTTAATAGTTAATATCATAAGACAATTGAAACTAGATCAACATGAAAAACCTAGAAACACTAATTATCCGTTTCGTCCCAGTATAAGACTACTCATCAGTATGCATTCACGATCCAACCTCATGAAATTCGAATCCTGGTCTTATCAATCTCGCACATGAATGCTTAACCTCTACACCACTGAGTTTCAATGAACTCATGATTTCAACCATTAAAATTACTATCATATTCATAAAACTCATTCTGAATATAATTTGTACTTTATATAATTTATGATGATTATTATACAGCATACATGGTGTTACTAATTTTATATTATTAAATAGTGTATTCATTATTGACTACAATATTGTCATTATAACAAATAAAACTATCATCATGTATTATATCCTTGTATAAAGTATTCAAAATTGATCTGTATCCAATGATAATTATACCGGATATTAAATAAATAGTAATATAGATTAGTGATTTCATTGTCAACGTTATTTTTGTTATTTTTGTCATTATTGTACTAATGAAAAAGGTTAATCGGATATATTGTAAAAGAACACCACACACACACACACACACACACACAAGCACATACACACATATGCACTCACACACACACACACACAAATATACATACACAAAATAAAAGGAATTCGTTACTGTACATGTATTTTCTATTTGTTTGTTTGTTTTCCTCATTCATTTATTCATTCCACTCATCTATTACAATGATGGGCTATTATAGTCCCGCCTACAAATTGTTGTTTGTATCATAATAATGATCAAATAAACAGATGTTAATCGGCATAAATGTAAACAAGATATTCATAGATAATTACATAATAATAGAATTCCATTATTGATATGATTTCAATTTGTAGTCACGTAATTTAAAGGAATACTTACGTAAATAAACCTCGATTCTATATATAAGATTTTATTCGTAATGGTAATACTGAATGAGAATGATAACTACACTACTACTACTACTGCAGCGACACCAAATGTAGCGAACAAGAACACCGGTAAGGGCAACCGAATGTACTTGACACAAAATTACAGGGCATCTCAATAAAATCTGAGAACTGTGTATTAAATCGTTAAGTTCAAAATGTCCACCAATTGTCTCAAAACGCCTCATACTTCATTGTTCTTACATTTTCATGCGAATTGCATTATATTCCCGCTTTTGCTTTCTTCATCTTCCCTTATCTTCTGCTGCCAGACATTACATTCCTGACTCGCATGCTATACTGCTTATATCAATATAAGTAGCACGTACCACACTACTACTACTACTACTACAACTGTTATTACTACTACTACTACTACTACTACTACTACGACTTCTACAACACCAACTACTATTACTACTACTAATACTATTACTACTGATAATAATAGTAGTATTAGTGTTAATAATGATAATATTACCATAACATAAAGTAGGTGTCTTTTTTGAATATTTAACACCTACCACAACTAGCAACAGTAAATGTTTGACCATAGTACAAACATTTTGCATTATCTTTGGAAGTCTATAGTTATAAAATCCATAATGATGATGATATTACAATTGTCAAGCTTAAAAAACCTACATATATATATGTATAGACATGGTAACTATGTTGAAATGAATCATTTCTAAACTTAGATAATATATATATTGAATCACATATAGACTATAGTTTAATTATTTCCATTCATAATATCATCATTGTATAAGGTTCCAACTAATATTAATGGGACATTATGTTGATAGTCAAAAAATGGTAATTAAAATGTAACATCCAATATGTTAAATATATACGCCCCCCCCTCCACTCTTTTAACACAAAACGGTTACATATATACCACAAAAAAATTAAAATCAATTTATTTACCATTATGAAATTGATAATTTTTCTCCGGGCATGGTCTTGTAAACTTTAAATCTTTCAAAAGTAATCCATCATTATGTAATGCTGAAATAAATTATAAAAAGAAATAGGATCGTTAATTGAACTAATAATGAAGTCATATCAGAGGGGTTTTGTGGATATTAGAGTAGTTTCGATGGTTTAGATCATGAGTCAATTGAGGCTAGAACACCATAGAAAACCTGGAAGTACTGGATGGCCGTTTCGACTTATTGTGAGACTCCTCAGAAGTGCGCATCCACGAGCCTACCTCGTGAGATTCCAACTCAGGACATATCGATCTCGCATGTGAACGCTCAATTTCTAGACCACTGAGACGGCCGGTATCTAACGGTGTTGATGTTTAATTTCAACTAATCTACGAAATTGAGTCACCGTCCACCATTGTCTTGAGTGAGTTACTATCTTGCTACTTACTTTATATACAGAATTACGAAATTAAAATAAAGCAACGATTATTTGTACTAGTCTTAATTCATGATTATAAATAGTCATTATTGTTTAAAGTATTATTTGATATCTAAATTTCAAATCATGTTTAATTTATAGGTATCCTATTACCAAACTTGGACTTGATAGTTGCAAAACAAATTGAGTTAATAATAAATATATTTTTTGTTATATCCCAATGAGTAGAAAAATTGTATTTCTGACGATGTTTCGTGACTTAATGCGTATCCACGACCTCGCCTAGCGACATTCGAACCCAGGACCTATCAGTCTATCAGTTTTCCCTAGTGGTTTAGCTTCAATTGACTCATGATCTCAACTATTGAAATTAATATAATATCCACAAAACCCCTCTGATATGAATCAACATATGCTCACTAGTGACTGGCTTCAAAAGGTAAGAAGCAGTAAGAAGCTGTGAACAGTGGAGTTCATCCGTGTCTGTTATGAGATAATAACTCATCGAAGACAATGATGGATGTGTCGCTCAATTTCGTGAATCAGCTGAAGTTAGACATTAACACCGTTGGATGCCGGCCGAATTAGTGTTGTAGTGGTTAAGCGCTCGCGTGCGTTACTGATAGATCTTGAGTTTTGATCTCACGAGGTGGAATTGTGTATTCATACTGCTGTGAAGTCTCACAATAGGACAAAACCGCCGTCCAGTGATTCCAGGTTTTCCATAGTGGTCTTACTTCAATTGACTCATGATCACAACTATAAAAATAAAATGATGTTTATCATTTGGATAAATTGTAATTCTATTAATATTGATTATATTGTTATCAGTATGGGAATTTGTGAAGATTGTACTATTTTTACTGTTCGAATCACGATTCGATCTAAGATAGACTACCTGGGAAGTTTCATACTAGGACCAAACGGCCATCTAATGCTTCCAAGTTTTCAATGAAGGTCTAGCTTAGATTAATTCGTCAATTCAATTGTGAAAATCATATTCTTTTATTATCAATTAATAATTAAATAAACCACTTAATGTAGAAAGTAACTAAGCCATTCATAAGAAGTATTTAATTCATTGAGAATGATAGTTCATTACAAATTATATGAAAGAACTAACTATCGAGGGATAGATGGATGACTTCATATTTTCTTTTTTCTCTTGAATGTTTCTTTATCTTTCTATTTATTTCAATGATTATTTTGCAAAACAAACTATCTCATATTCAAATATGAGTATTTTTTATCAACGACATGAAAGTATTATCAGAATAGAGATTTGTGGATACTGTAGTCATCCTTTTTTTGGTTGACTTCATGAGGCGATTAAACCTAGACAATCTTGGAAAACGTAAAAGCACTACACGACAACTTCGTTCTAATATGAGATTCCTGGTCTACAATCCTGCATACAGGAGTCGAACATAGAACCTTCGGTCTCCTGCGCGAATGCTTAATCTTTAGACTACTGAACCATCCACTATTGTTTTCAGTCAATAAACTATCTCTACAACAGTTACAGTCGGATTCCACTTTCCACGGCTTCTCTCCAAAACTCCAGGAAATCCATCAAATCCGGGGGTTTATTGTATGGATATTTGAGTAATTTTTATTTTAATGAAAGTATATTACATTACATAAGGTGGATCTGATGGAGATGTGAAAGCGCGGATAGGTAAAGCAAGAGAAGCATATCTACAATTGAAGAACATCTGGAACTCAAAACAACTGTCAACCAACACCAAGGTCAGGATTTTCAATACAAATGTCAAGACAGTTCTACTGTATGGGGCGGAAACTCGAACAACTACGAAAGCCATCATCCAGAAAATATAAGTGTTTATTAACAGTTGTCTATGCAAAATACTTCAGATCCGTTGGCCAGACATTACCAGCAACAACCTATTGTGGGAGAGAACAAACTAGATCTCAGCTGACGAGGAAGTCAGGAAGAAGTGCTGTGAGTGGATAGGACACACATTGAGGAAAGCACCGAACTGCATCACAAGACAAGCCCTCACATGGAATCGTCAAGGCCAAATGAGAATAAGAAGAGCAAAGAACACATTACGCCGAGAAATGGAGATAGACATGAGAAAAATGAACAAGAATTGGATGAAACTAGAAAAGAAGGCCCAGGACATAGTGGGTTGGAGAATAGTGGTCGGCAGCCTATGCTCCATTAGGAGTAACAGGCATAAGTAAAGTAAGTAATATTACATTACATAATCACATCAGCTTATATCTATATAGAAATCTACCAGAAATGACAGTCATTCATCTTAAACGTTAAATTAACCTATTAAAGAGAACTTATACAAAACATATTACTAATAGTAATCATAATAAATAATTGACATAACTTACCTAACCCATTAATTTGATCGTTAACCATTAAAACAATTCCAATGATTAAAATATATTGGTTTGTTATAATAATTGTAGATTTTCGATGAAACATTATTCTTTCTTTTTTCTTTCTTTCTTTCTTTCTTTCTTTCTTTCTGTTTATATCACTGTGTTCTCTTATAATTAATTTTCTGTTTTTTTCTTCTTTTTATAGTGAAAATATCAATATAGTTCACCAACAAGAACAAAAAATAAACAACAAAAACAAAACAAACAAGATTCAAAAACAAAGAAACAGAAAAAAAAGAAAAGAGAAAAGAACTTGATTTGTGCTTTACTTTCAAAATAATAAAATGAACTGATTTTTCTTGTGGTTGTTGTTGTTGTTGTTGTTGTTGTTGTTGTTGTTGTTGTTGCTCCTGCTGCTGCTGAACGAATACTATTTAATGAATTGAATTAATTCAATGGTAAACGGATCTATGTTTCTATGGTTTAAATACTCTGTCACAATTGTTATACATTCAATAATTTATAATAAGAATGAATGAAGAGATGAGTAACTATGACAGATTATTTTTTCTTTCTTGTTTTTTTTCTTTATTTTCTTTCTCTTTTGTGTGTGTGTGTGTGCGCGCGTGTGTGTGTGTGTGAAAACGTCTAAGAAATTTTTGTATAAAAATAATAGAAATGTAGAATAGATACGTATCAATATGAAATATAATAGAATATAAATGGATATGTAGAATTATATAACCGTATAAAGCATTGTTGTCTTTTAATAAGCGTGGGCTATCCTCTTTTGTTGAGAGCCAATCAAATTTCAATAAGCCAAAATAATCATTGGTAATCATATTCATGATTTTTAAAATTATTTTTAATATATAAAAACCATTATTATTATTATTATTATTATTATTATTATTATTATTATTATTATTAAGCAAAGGTGGATAGTCACTAACAGTGGAATCCAGGATGCGTGTTTCTTCCTATTTAGGATTTGTCAGCTGGATTTTACCTGTATCTTAGAGTTGATGTTCGAGTCCTAGAGTGAGCATTAACACTGAGATGAAACTAGGAATCGTTGCATTGATTGTAGAAAATTTGTAGCCATAAAATGATATATAAAATATGCAGGTATATCCAGTTAACAAGTTCTAAATAGGATGAAACGTGTGTCCTGGATTCCACTACTAACCACTATCCATCTTTGCTTATAATGCTTGTGAATTAAGGTAATATTGAGGCAATACACACAGTATGCACATAAGCTAATAAGAGACTGAATAATTGCAGTGCTAAACATCAATGGGAAGATTCAAGTAATCGATACCAAGTGAAGTTAACAATAATAATAATTACTACACTATTATGGTGTTATAAAAATTGAATAATTACATAATTATAAATGTTGTTATGTTGAGCTTATAAACCACTAATGTCATACATTTGCATATTGACTGCTTGAATCTTTTTATTGATAATTAAGACTGTCATTAATAAGTTTGTTATTGTTATTTATGGATCTTGTGCAAATTGCAAAGGTGGCTAATAATGAAAAACAGAATATGTGTTTCATCCTATTTTGAAACTAATTGAATAAATAACGTAATGACGTTTGAAATGAATGGTAGTGAGTTCGAGTTCCAGAGTGAACATTAACTCTGATGTAGGATTATCCAGTGGACAAGTCGTAAATAGAACGATTCCATTACTAGCTACCATTTATCTTTGCTTATAATACTAATGTACGTGTTTTCAAATTGGAAGCGATGTCGCTTCAAACGCTTAATTAATCATTTGATTATAATTAAACTCCTTGGATTAATATTTTCATTATAAATATCTATTTAAAATTGCTATATGTCTACCTTCAATAGACTTCCTGTACTAAACAACTATCTTCCATAGTTTCAACGTATTAGGATTAAAAGATGGTTCATTAATTCCTAGTTTCTGGTAGTTGTCTAACAATCTTCACGAATTTCACTTGCTGATAATAACTATATGCTTATTACTGATCAAATTCTAGAACACATCTTCGTAGTTTCCAGTAGATAACAATGACCAATGGAATTGAACTGTATTATCCACCGAAGACAATAAATACATAGACCATTGATATAGAAGTCAATTGTAGTATATCATGGTAACTATTTCAAAAAATATTCATAAAAGCATTTATAAGATGTTCATCTAGCAAACTAAAATGGACTTCTATATCTTGTAACTTACAAGATGCATTGTTTGAGTTTTTCCGTTATTGATGTCAATGTCTTCAATTGATCAATATTTTTTGACTTATGTGCAGGTTAAGTGGAACATCTCGATAGTTTTATTAAGTCATAAGTATTTCTCTATTTACCACTGTCAAACTCAGTTTAAAATCCATATGTCTTAATGATATTATCGAAATAATCTACTTAAGCTACACATATGCAGTAAGAGACTGATCAGTTAAATATCTTAACATGAACAAGACGATTCAAACAACTTTACAGATGGATTAAAATTTGTTCTTATTGCACAAACTAATGGCGATCTGAGAATGAGTTTGTTGTGTACTATCCGTCGGTCGTCTGAGGCTAAAGGTAATGAATACCTATGTGAACAACAATAAATTTAGTTAGATCCAGCTGAGGAGTTTTAAATAAAAGGAAATGTACCTCCTGGATTCCACAGCTAGCCACAACCAAACTGTACTTAAAGAACCTATATGTTTATCAGCATTTCAAAAACTAAGATGGACTAGAGCCTTTTTCTTAAAAATATGTATATATATACAATCGATCAGCCGTAATGGTGTTAACATGTAGCTTCAGTCAGTCAGTCAGTCAGCTACAACGTAGGACCAGGCACATATGTGCATCGGTCCAGGTTGCCATACCTCATTAGCACAGCAAGATGAACAGCGGATTCATAGGAGTGGTTAGGTCAAAGGTTGCAATAAGGATATAGTATAGGAAGAAAGAATTAGTTCGTAGACAGAAAGAATGAAGTGATTTTAGTCTCTTAGTTTAAAAGAAGACAGGGAGTGTATACACCGACGCCATTGTGATCGATTCTGAGCCATGTCACCCAGAGTCTCCAACCATTGGTTACGAAAGTCACGCGGACCCCAACCAAGTAGTCTGCATCTACCAACATGGCTCAGACTAGAAGTTAGTGACAAAAATTACCCATAACAAGGTCGTGTGTGACCGACCTCAAGCAGTTGTCCCTTGGGCACTGCGGTCACGCTCTCAGGTCACTAAGACCACCTTTAATCCAAATTCCTTTTCAGGTACCCCCAGAACATGTAGCTTCACTGATTGCTCAATGATTACACCATTTAACTTTCGACTATGAAGCTTTTAATTCAGCTCAAACTTTTATAATCCATAAAAAGCACTAAATGCAACTGAGACTAGGTAGACAAATTTGTACCTAGTTGGTGAGTTGCCAAAGCTTTATACCTACGCGCACATATTAAATAATAATATATTTTTAAAAGTTTGGATTTTGATAGAAATCAATCAATTCATCATTCTCATTTCTTCAACGATAAATTTGAAATGTATGTTATTTTAATAGTTGAATTCATAAGTCAATTGAAGTAAGACCGCCAAGGAAAACCTGGACGGCCGTTTTGTCCTGCTACGGGATTCCTCAGCAGTGCGCATCCACGATCCCGCCTCGTGAGATTTGAACCCAGGACCTATCGTTCTTGCGCACGAGCGATTGACCTCTAGATCAATGAGCCAGCATTCGGCGGTGTTAATGTTTAACTTTAACCAATTCACGAAATCGCGCCACTGTCCATCATTGTCATCAGTGAGTTAATATTAGACCACAGACTCTGCTGAATTCCACCAGTCACGACGTCTCACTGGAACTCCAAGAAATACGAAACGGCCGTCAATTGCTTCCAGGATTTCCATGATGGTCTAACTTCAATTGACTCATGAATTCAATTATTAATATTACTATAATATTCCACTACTCTTTCATGCTTGCTTACCGTATCTATACGTGGTGCAATAATAGACGTAATCAACACTACGTATTCGCCTACTGATTAATACACTGTTAAGGATTATATTGAATACTGACCACCAAAAGATGTGTATATTATATTATAAAAGTTTCATAATTAATCATCTACTTCTTCAGTAATTCGATTTGTTTCTTTAACGGCTTAAATATTGACTTAGAAATAATCCATCTAATGTGATTGATATCGCACTTTCTCAAATTATAAGACTTAATTAGTGGCTATCTAACCGAATTCCACCAGTCATGTAAAATTTATACAAAATTGACAATGCTCAACAAACCAATACACTAATGGTAATAATAGTAATAATATTGCACTCACTTGTGATTGAGTTGTAGATGTGATTGGAGGTGTTCTGTGTAGATGCTGAGAATATGGTTAATTCAGCCATATTGTATGTGAGATCGATAGTTATCGACCACATGTGATGGAAGATAATCACACATTGTCACATCTAGATGAAGTTCGACATGAATTATGAGTGTGAACTGGTGAATAAACTTGTGATATGATGAAAGAGTTATTTTGTGATTTTTGGTTTCCAACGATTGTCTAATTAAGATCGATCGGTGGTGTGAAATGTGAGAACTGAACAATCTTGACATTAATCTTCGTATGCTGATCTTGGTATGATATATTATATATTCATACTTCCACCATACTCCCTATTAAAATCTTTTTGGATCAGTATGTTTATGAGTAGGAAGCAACGGATCTTCGTTATTCATTAAATTATTACAATAAGTATACTTATCTATTTTTTACTGTATCAATGAATGTCTTCATGATGTTGTTTAGATTCTTTAAATGTGTAGATTATCTTATGTCTCTTAATATATATACATCGGAAGAATTCGTTTTTGAAACCGTTGATATGGAACGATTTGTTGGCCGGCCAAATGACATTTGTGATTTTAAACAATGTATACTAAATAAAACGTTTATTCCAGTTGTTTAAGAAATATCACCTCCACTCTTAGATGTGTAGGAACCTTTCAATATAAAACTTGAATAAGTTTCATGTTTCACATGGTGAATAACTTGTGTTTAAGTAATGAACATATACAGATATTTTTAAGCAATGATGGATAGCTTCTTGCAGTGGAATCCACGCTGCGTGTTTCGTCATTTATCGGACTCGTCAACTCGATGTATCTGTATCCCAGTACCGTTTGCTTCAAACGCCATCACGTTATCCACTTAGCCACTGAGTCCTGACAGCCACCTGCAATGAGGTGCAATGAGGTGAAGCTTAAATTCACTTGATGTTGTTTTGCTTGTATCTTCCGATTTTTATTTAGGACTATAATTGATCGGTGACATGTTAGCATATGTGCATCCTGTGCGGATCGCCTCAATATAGCCTTAAGTCATAAGCTT